ATAATGAATCATTGTGCATGTGTTCTTGACTACATACATGTAGCTCTTTATTTATGGCCAATGAACTTTCTATTCATGGAAGACAAACAAAACTCTCAATTACTCAGTTATTCTCCAGGGGGCTGCATTGCTGAAGAAATATACACATTAGCACAGTATCAATTTTGTTGTGGTGTTAAACTATTTTTTTCATAAATGTATACCACTCAACATAAAAGTGCAAACAAATACCTTCTGGAAACTGATTGCTTGGATTCAGAAAATAGCCAATACAAATTTTTCTTACTATTTAAAAAGTCTTAAATAGCAATTTTTTTAATCATGAGTCTTGCGACAAAGTGGAAAAGGACATACAAATCCTGATGGAAGGATCAAAGCCAAGTTCTCCAGAGGTGAACACTCTGATCACAAGGCCATCTGGTCGGTAATTACAACCATATATTGATTTTTTTTTAAACTTTCATTTTCACTGTAAGTTAGGATGAGATGAAGTGGCTTCCTTATGAGAATATTATAGTAATTATCTAATGGAAAAGAATAGAGATCTGAATAATGAACATATAGGAAGGTTTTTTAGGGTCAGTTTCACAGAAGATATGAATACTGTCAGTGGTTAGTTTCACTTTTGAGGTCTTATTTAGATATTTAGCCATATTTGACCCTTGGACTACTTAGCCCACTGTTCTAAATGCGGCCATAGGGCCATTCAGAATGAGAAGATCTGAGTGCTAACTGGTCCATGGTCTAAATATGGCGGATCTACATGAAAGGAAGACCGCTTAATCCTGTAATGGTCTCTTCCTTGACCGTCATTCCTTGACCGGTCGAATTGAGACGAGATTTAATTACTGCGCCCCTGCAAGGACGACGCATGGGGAGGCGTGAAAGAGGCGGAGAGAGGTTGAATCCAAGTGCAGAGAGGGATAGATAAATGATTCGGGAGTACAAGAAAATTGCTTATTTTACCATGAAAATCCATTTTGGTGGTTAAATCTCATGAAATGTACCTTTAACTATTCCATTTGATGTGAAAAGGGCCTTTGTCCTTTTTTCCTTCTTCCCTTAAGCGGCAAGAATGTCATTTTTATGACAGAACCACAAGGAAATTAAGGAAAAGATGCCCGAGTAAGAGGAAATCTCTGTATCCCTCGATTTGATGAGAAAGTGAAAGAAGATAGAGCCCCAAATTACGCACGATCAGGGCAGTAAATCATTACGTGGAACTGCCTTAGAATGAAAAAGGGGCCCTCCATGACACAATTGGAAGAAAACGTTTGAAGCTCTTAATGAAAGTCCTCAAACTTACATCATAATGATAACATTGTAACTTCCCTAATGGCCCATTAAAGGCTAACAGTCAACCATTAGTGTAAATGGCTTGATGCACTTACTATACTGTAGGCAATCAAGCGTTATTACCAACATACTTTATAGCATGTTACAGTATCTCCATAATTTCTTACCTGGTAAGGGCAGTTGGGTCTTTTTTATCACAGTGATATGGTATAACAGACCAACTTCTGGACCCTATATTCTGGCGTTTATCAGGGATGAGACCAGTCCTCACTAAAAAAGTAGGAGAATTGGCAGGGGGTCCAGAGTACATGATTCATAAGAATGACCTAAATGACCCTGAAAAAGTCGGAATTCCGACAAAAATTCGGAAAAGTCTCATCGGTGGTTTACATGCTTGATGTACTTAAAGGTGCTTGATACCCCTATCAGATTGGTCATAGTTATAACTTACTGTTGGAAGAGAAAAAAGGAAAGTGAATATGACTTTTATTTTATTAATTAATATTTTTGAGACAGTATTTACTTTTTAGCTGACTTCACAAATTATCCTGAATCAAAGGAGACCAAAACTTTTGCCCTAAATGTACAGACAATCATCTCATTAAAAAAAATAAATAAATAATTTAAGGAAAAAGAGAAAGAAAAAAGAGAAAAGAAAAAAGAAAAAAAAGAAGCTGAATTTGTGCTCTTCCACCCTTTGTGATGTCTCCTTTCTGCTGAAATATAAAATTAATTTAAGAGTGACAAAGATAAATGTTTTGGGTGATGCATTTCACCATTTTAAGTGGTTCCTCGATTACTTTTCACTCCATATTACAGGGCAATTACAAAATGGCCATATTTCTATATCAATTACATTACAGCTGAGAACACAATGGGATCCATAACACCTAAATCAAGACACTTTCAGATGATCAATAATTTGAGGATAAGTTACATATACAGAAACATGGAGGAGCTGTCTAGATTTCTTATTCTTTTTTAAAGGAATAACAACTCTTTGTATGAGATGTATATTTCACGATAAACAATGTAACTTTTTAAACAACTCATAGAAATGTAATATATTTTATTTTTCCACATAACGGCATTTAAAGCAATTATTCTGAAATCTGTGCTTGCCGTCTGACCAAGTGACCTCTATAGATGGCTACCCTCTGTAAAACAAACTTTTTAGAAAAAAAACAGGGACTTACTTTGATTGTAGGAATGGATTCATTAACCATTGGTTAGTATGGGAAAACTGTCGTTTACCCCAGGAAAATTCATTTTTTGGCCAAAATGATCAGTTGTTATCCCTTTAACCTTGGTTGAATCAGGACAATCAACATGACCATTTTTCTTGACCTAAATTCAATATCTAAATCTTTTTGGCCAACTGGTGGTTAAATATATAGGAGAACGAGTAGAATCTTAGTTTATCACCACCTGGAGAGCATGTTATGTGTATGTAAAGTATGAATATGGAAGCTTGTACTTCACATTGTAGTGGCATGTGAGGTTTCTGAGAATGAGCACATTTACGCCTCTAGACAACATGAGTTATCGAGACACCTTAGACCTGGTTAGCAACAAAAGCCTTAATTGTTTACTACCCATTACGCCCAAGAACATGCTTAAATATAACCTGTTGAAGTCTTTTGTACTTTAAGCATATTTCTCAGAGACTTTTAGTGTATAAATCAAGTTTGTCAACTTCACAGATTGCTTTCTTTAAACCGCTGTTCTGGAATGTGCATTAATTTGGTATAACCTTTCTGTTAATCTAATCTTGTCAAGCTGTCTGCTTCAACCAAATAAAAAGTGCAACTATGGATTAACACTGTACTTTTGTTGTATGATGCTCTATATTTTTGTACTGGTGATATCCAAAGAATAATATCAATATACAAGCCTTGGTATTGAAATAAGACATTTTGCAGGATATTTTGTCATGAAATTTGAATACTACTAAGTTAATGTTCTACATTACTTTGTAGAATTAGAATGGAGAATAAATGTAATCAAAATTCTGAAATTATGTGGTCAAATTCAACAACTAATCAACCTGACATTTAATTTACCACATAAAATCTAGGTTTTTTTACATACATATACATTACCCATTCTAGCCTCAAACATAGTTAATCATGACAGATATTTATTTACCTTCTGACTGCTTGCAATAAATTTATCAAGTAGAGAAGACATATTCTCTGGGAAACATTGCTAGCTTTCACCTTTGCATGCAAAAAATGTGTTCACGTTCAAACCTTTCTTATGCAATGGTGCACATCATCACATCATCAGGATAATAAAAAAATGCTAATTTTCCTTTTGCTTTGATTCAAAAGAAAGGCAATACAGTGAGACTTGTCTTTACGTAAGCGATTTTACTGCGTGTCTATTGGGAAAACTAAGATTCCTTACACCACATCAAATCACAAGAACAAAAGACTTGAACAAAATATATTTTGTAAGCATTCCATGCAAAAAGCTGTGGTTTAAGTCTTATACTACGCTTGCAGCAAGGAGTATATGATATCTCTGCTTGTTTTTTGAACCTGGATATATCTCAAATGCCTCACAAGGTAGAATTACATGTATGTATGTATGTATTTATGTTACAGTCAGGCCTTAAAAGTACTATAACTGATATTTGTTGACTTGAAACCACATATTAATGACTTCAATTAATCACTAAATTTAATTCTTTAATTGGAACCGCAAGTTAATATTCAGATTTTATCAATACTAACTCTAAGCATATATGTTCAGTTTTTTTTTCAGAAGCACACTTCATTCATAATTTGGTTGAGACTTATTCAGTGAAATGTTATGAGTATATTTATATAATTTTTCTATGATTACATTTAGGGGTAGCAGGAGTCACTTCCAAGTATCGAGCTGTTTGCAGGAAATGAAAAGAAAATCATACTAATAAAATGTGTCACCTGAAAGTTATATTATCATCTTACAAGTCGAGATTCACAAATCTATCCAATTCGTACATATGACAGCAAATTTCCAGAACAAAATACTTATGCTTTAAATATTATTTTTATAGTTTACAACGTATTCTAGCCATCACATATCTGCCAAGTTAAAACAGTAAAATTCATCTTAATTCATCTTGGTGTCTACATACTGACAGGACTTGACTTACAGATCCTACTCACACCACTAATCATAAAAATTGCACTTACATTTATTGTAATTATTATAATAATAATAATAATAATAATAATAATAATAATAATAATAATAATAAAAGCATGAGACTAAAAACACCTACCAGTCACCAAATTCAAAACTCATATTCAAATGGAAAAAATCAGTAAAGCATATAACATGCACAATTGTTCTTCATGGGAAAAACGTCATAACTTATGTGACTTACGAGAGAGTTTGATAGCAAAAATAATGACATATGTTAGCTCCAACTGATACCTAGAAATACACTAGATCAGATACATAATTTCTAGGAACTGCATCTTCTTCATCTTCAAGCATGAAATGTTATTGGTCGACAAGTACGTCACCTAGCACATGTAATTATAACAAAGCTAAGTATTTTCTATTTTTGCAGGCACTTTCAGTTAACATCTTCTAAGAAAGCCTTTTATCTTTCAAGAACATGGGAACTCGAGAATCATCCACAACAAAGACAGTTTGACATCAAATTTTAAATATTGCAACATTGTATTTATGTTCTTTTATGACAGTATATTCCTGCCGTTGACAAGGCATTGATCTGTGGCATACAGAGATGATGGGCAGTTGAAAGAAGAAGTCTTATAGCTGTGCCAGAAGCTGCAAAACAGGTAATTTGCACATCAAGTACATCTTAACTGTCCGTTAAAGGCCACTTCAGAGAAGGAGAGTGACACTTAGAGACTATTCTATTGTCCTTTTTGTACTGAGTGGTATACTTAAGCAATGCACTTGTAAAAAAAAAAGCAATAAGTTCTTGCACAATGCTCTACACAAATGCATCTCAGTATAGTTTACATTAAGGAAAATATGCCTAGAAATTTTGGGAAGTCTTTGGTCCTGGTACTGACACTACATAGCATCTGATGTGGACATTCATGGGGAGAATACAACCAGCAGCCTAAGAGGCTCTGAAAGCTAGCAAACGAACAAAATAATCATCCACTGCCAGACATCTGCTTTAACCTCTATCTGCTGAGTGCCAAGCAGCGAGAAGGATCAGTAACTCCCTGGACGGGGTCAAACCCACATTCCCCCCACCCCCTCCCCACCCCACCCCACTACCAAGGCTGCCAGTCTGACCACTAGTCCATCCAACTGGTAGTACCAGTACACTTTTAAGATTGACCAGGGAAAGGGATAATAACTGTTCGTAAGTTATCCATATTTCATGATAAATACATTGTAAACAGCACCACAAACAGTGGTTAATGCAATTATTCTGGATTGGTGCTTGTCATCACATCACGTGACCTCCATAGATAGCTACACTATAATAATCTCTTAAGAGAATATTACAGAAAACCAAACTTTTTAGAAAATAACAAGGAAAGTACACGGCGCCGGCATCGGCATCGGCGACGGCATCGGCATTGGCGACGACAGACGCAGGTGATGGCAATATGTACAGACACAGAGAATATTGCTCTTTCATTATTATTTGAACATACAAGTGGTACTTAGGTAATAAACTAATCAAATTTCCACATGAGTATTTCATTGGGATACAATGCCAAAATATATTTACACATAAAGAATGAGACAAGGTTTTCACATTTTTCAAATAAACCCTAAATTGCTTTTGAATTTCAACTATTAATTTTTTTATCAATTTAAAAATAATAATAATAATTGGTATTTATGTGTGTGTATGTGAACATGTATGTCAAGATTTGAAAGTCTGTCATAGAAATTTTCTAGATCCAACCTCTGCATACTTGCATGCCCTGTCTAGTGGAAGCTGTATATAATTCAATTTGGTATGATGGAAGACCTGAGTGTCATTTAACTGTAATGAGTATCATGCCTATACAGTAATTCTTGACTCTTTTAGATGTGTTCTTATTCCACTTCAGATTCTTCCAAGTGCACTGTATTGACCTCAACACATTCATACTGCCATTTAAAGTTCCAGTTATTTTTGACAAGAAATGCAGGTGCCTTATATATTATAAATGCATACATACACATTTTGTCATCATGCAGGGTAATTTTTAGATTGCCTCCATATTTTGCTTATTCCAGCGTGAGATATTATTATAGTGTCAGCTGTCATGCTACATAAACTATTCTTATTGATGTTACATGTCACATTGGCAGGTACAGCATCACTTTCATTTTGCCACATGTCTTGATGCCAAGAATCACGTCAAAGTATATCTAAAATAAAATTTTGAGAATTTTTGAGGTCCCTATATCCATTATAGCTACACAATGCATTCAAAATTGTATTGAAACATGTAGCTGCACTGGTGGCTGTGAAAAAAAATTGAAACCTTACCGGAAAATCTGTTTATGGCACTTTTCTTACTCAAAATGAAGAGTTGTCATCCTTTTCCCTTAGCAAATTTGCTGCAATATTGCTGCAAACTGCAATTCCTTCTTGAAATTTGTACCAATAAAAAATTTTTTGCAAACTCATAGCTGCAAACTTTTAGGCACTTTAATCTATTGTTCTTAGTAATTATTGGAGTTCTTGCTCCCTAAAGAGCATTTAAGACTTTGCTGAAAATCTGAATTTAGAAGTCAATTAAAACAGGATTTAGCAATAAAATATCGGATTATTCTTAATACACATCTATAATTATGCTTTATTCATACTTTCTACACCAGTCTGAGCTGGTGGAGATGTACAGAGATAAAGTAATAGCAATAAAAAATTCATAGATCATTAGCACCAAATTACATATACAGATGTGCACTGTTATTACACATATATGTCCAGAATTTCATAATCATAAGCTAGGTGTGGTCTTAATGCTGAGTCAACTGTTCACAGCACTGATGGTACTCTTGCATCAAACCACAAGTATTGTATAAATGACTAAGATATAGATATTAATCTATGCACAAGCCTGTTGTCCTACTTTGTGAAATGAATCTTTATAATTTATAGTTGCTATATGAGAGGAGAGGAAGAAATTATTTGCTCGGTTCAATAATTGGTGGCATTGGTGGCGAGAGTGGGAGTCACCCTGTGTTGCTCGAGCAGGAACACCTTGACAATCGAGCGACGCGATAAATTGTTAAAATACTGAGATGGATACTTGAGCGAGGTTGGCAATTATTGAAGGTGGGGTCAATAAAGATGCCATGGGATGTTTAGCAGAGTGGAAGATGTAGTAGATAAGAAATAAAGATGTTGACGTACAGGGAGTGTTGGTGGGTTAAAATAAAGTTTTTTACCTTCTGCCGGTCTTGCGTTGTAGCGTGTTATCTTGAGGTGATATTCTTGTACTCTACGTGCCACTCTGCCATACAGTTCCTTGGAATGGTCTGATGCTGGACACTTAGGCTTCGTTCACATGCAATGTCTATTTTCTAAATTCTATTTTCTATTTGCGGCATGTCTTATGATCACGGTCTGTGCACTGAATATCCCGCCGCGTAATTACTGGCAGTGCGAGCCAGTTACTATAAGTTACTATAAGCCTTACTGTGGACGCATTGTAATTAAGTATTAATGAGTTGACCGCGATTGGTCAGTGATGCCCAGAGTGTTGTAATGATTGTGTGCGGCGAGCTGAGTGGCGACAGTGTGTCTGGCTGCCACATGTGTGCTATTGCTCTAGCTAGAGACACTCCCGAAGTATATTGCACTATAAATAAAATTATAGTCTTCGCCAATAATTTAGCATTTTATAGTAATTATTTATAGCCACAGACACCACTAAATGGAATATGCAACACAATTTCTTTTTTCAAAAGCAAAGTTAAGAAATTCGGCCAAAGATATTATCACTGTCTTGTTTGGGTTGCTCATTATGATATGTTCAAATCTTTCATATCTTTCTATCCCCTGTCTCGGATCTGTCTGGCCTATAGATAGCCGTCTCTACTTTCTGGATAGCAAGCAAGCACAAAAAAGAATTGTGAAAATCTTATTTCAAATTTGAATACACCGAAGAAGAAAAAATCTCTGTCTCATCAATGGCAACCAGCATTTTATTCTGAAATGTGAGGCCTATAAGGAGCTACGGGCATCTTTCCTTGAAAATAAAAAGTTTCTTTTGTATTATGAATGTCCACTCTCCACCAGATATGTTTGCACACATCATGAGTACAAAGGAAATGGATGTAATTATGCCCCACCTCATATTTGTACAGAAATGCATAGAGAAGAGAATTAAGCCTTTCTGCATATGTCCAAACCAGATCATAATACCAGTGTGAGATCCGCAGAGACTGGACGTGTAGATCAAACCTGGTAAATTGATTATGAAACACAATACACATATCCATTTGTATATATATAGCCATTTATGTAAACATTATGATCATATATTTATTTGTTTGTGCCATGTTCTAGTTAGTTGGGCTGTCATTGATTGTACCTTGTATGTGAAGGTGTTTATCAATAAATAATCTGAATCTGAATCTTTGCTTAGTTAAATCTAATAACAAATCAAAACAGGTGGCTAACTTAAGGTTTTTTCTGTCTTAAAGTTAAGCCACTAGAGCAAATTAATAAGGTCGTGTCGATGGTTTTAACTCTCAGTGGTGGCAATGGCATCCTATCTATAGAGTATAGTATAGAGACTGTTCACAACGGATTTTGATCCAATGCCCACTAACACAATGGGGACAGGGTGACTGAATGCAATCAGATATACAGATTGACATGCCTCCTCCTGGCTTTGAGTACAAGATGAAAAAGCTGGTGATTATTCAAGTATGTTGGAAACAAGAGGAGCATTGTTAGTGGAGTGCATTCGCTAGGTGGACAAAATTCATTGTGAATGGTTCCTATATCAACTATATGCATTTAGTAGGCCTATGAGCTTTTCATTCTTGAAACTCTCCTAGATCAATACTGCAAAGTCCACTTTATACATAGTTGCATAATTATCTAAACTGAGCAGCCAAGGTTACTACCAAAAACATAGGACTTTTTTGTGAAAAAAGTTCCAAGATATACTTTCAAGTGAAGTATAGAGCAATCATGTTTTTTGCTGCCTAACACCACGCCATCTGGTAGTTATCTCATTAACTAAGTCTTGGCTGGGACAGTGAAATTTTAATTTTGTATCCATGTATAAAAATAAAACTGACCATTACATATCAGACAAGGGTCCAATAATATGATCTGAACATCTCATTACTTATTTAATTTTGTTAATCCAGTATGCACTGTATCCGTATACATTTTCAAAATACTTGTAAAAATGCTGCACTTTGGGTCTCTGTATTCTTTCTTCAACATTCTCTGCTGAGAGGTCCAACCATGTAAATTACATGACAGGAAACTTCATTTTTGATTTCACAAGTATTTCTACTGTTTGGATGGAATTTTTACATCCACTTGTACCATCCACACTTAAACACAGCAATAAAAAAAAAGTGCAGTCAGTGTATGAGCAAAGGATCAGCATATGAAAAAAGTAGTTCACGTCCTTGTCAAGTTCCCAGGAAAGGGGAGGTCCATTTAGGTGATTCTCTTGCATTATGGCCTGCAGGTAATTAAGCTGTCAATTTTCAACACAGAACAGACTATTAAGACAGAATCCTGATGTGAATACAGTACTTTCATCTCTATTTCAACGCACAGATACACAGCAAGACTTGCTATTCATAGTTTCATTAATCAATCCATATCTATAACAGTAGAAAC